TCCTTCCTTCCTTCCTTCCTTCCTTCTTCCTTCCTTCCTTTTTCTTTCTTTCTTTCCTTTTTATTTCTTTCTTTCCTTCCTTCCTTCCTTCCTTCCTTCTTCCTTCCTTCCTTTTTCTTTCTTTCTTTCCTTCCTTTTTCTTTCTTTCCTTCCTTCCTTTTTCTTTCCTTCCTTCCTTTCTCTTTCTTTCTTTCCTTCTTTCTTTCTTTCTTTTTCTTTCTTTTTTCTTTCTATTTTTCCATCTTTCTTTTGAAGAGCAGTGTTATGTTTCAGCTTTGGGGTTGTTGCCTATTGGGAAGAGTGGAATCTCGAAGATGAGCATCAACAGAGAGAGAGGGGCCCGAACCCTGTAATCAAAGAGCAAGGGCTGAATCATTTTATCCTTTGCAAATGAGCAGCAGGCGGCTAAGATATCTCCACTGGGGTTGGTTCTCCAGCTCCAACGGGGAAAAAAACTGTTGTCCTTTTTCTGTGTCTGAGCTCTGAAAAGGAAGCGTCGTAATGATGTCATTGGCTTGGAGCCGGCCTTCCCGCCGATCTATTCTAACCATCTTGCCCCCCCCCGTTCCTGCCACAGGCCCTGGATGGTGAGCGCACGACCCCCCAGCAGATGGCCCAGCCGATGCGTGCCCCGCCCTACGCATACGCACCTGGTGCACAGCAGCCCTGGGGACCGAAAGTAACAGTTCAGTTTTATAGAGGAAAAGCTAGCCCAGCGCATTCTGGGGGTGGAGGAACTGCCCCATGGAATTCAGATGGCTGCTTCGCTTGCCTTGGCACTGCTTGGGGCTGACATAGTTGCTTGAAATGATGATGCCAGGAGCCAGCCCTTTTTCCAGCCCTTTTTCCCCAAGACCGGCACCAATGAATTACTCAGGATAACGGTCCTGTGACGGGGAAGGTGGGCGGATGCTATGTGGAGCACCATTAGCTACTCTCCCTTGAAACGCCACCAAGCTGCAGAAGCCGTGGGATAGAGTTCATGACAGGGGATCCTCGACTTACAACAACAGTTCACTCAGTGACCATTCAAACCAGGAGTGGGCTGCTCCTGGCGTTACCGCCGGTTCGGTGTTCGCATAGCACACCAGGTGTGCGCTACGCACAAATGCACATTTGCACAAAAAATAGGTCTGCGCATGCACAAAACATTAAGAAAGGGAAAAAAATAAATGTGTGCAATTGCAATTGTTCTGCACATGCGCAGAACTGAAAATCAAGATGGCAGCCCCGTAGGAGAACCGGTTCAGGGGTGTGGCAGGCCTGGGTCACTGCCAGTTCCAGCGACCCAGGCCCACAAACCACTACTGGTTCGGCCGAACC